GTGGTGACAGTAAACACTGCTCAGCTGGGATCATTACTCAGAGAGCAGCAATGGGTGATGGACRATGTCACAATGTCCTGGTTGTATCATAAATGGGAGAAACACCACCATGGCATCCCTGTATCCCCAGGAATCRGTGCAAAAATAGTCTGTGTCCCTTCTTGTCCCCATTCAAAAAAATTTGTCAGGAGCTGAGGAAACATCTCTGCAAAAAGCATCAACAGGAGTCTGGGAGCTTCTCTGTGCCAAAGACTGTTTTTTGAGTGATCTTTTTGCCTCAGTACAGCCTCCACAGCAGCCAGCAGAGGACAAGTGTTACGGATTTTAGGATGGGAGGAGGCAGGCCTGATTGCTCAGTTGTCTCTCAGAGCCAAGAACACGAAAAATGCTAATCCTGCCCATCTCTGCCAAGCACTGCAGACCCAGAATCACTGAATGAATAATAAAACTTTCACCCAGTTTTAACCAGAGATGAAATGAGTATCACAGCCTCAGCTGCTGAATTCATGCATGCTGGAAAAGTAGACCTCCTATTACCCAGAAGAGCTGGATGTGAACCAGTGACCTGTGTCTAAGTCCCATCACTCTCCACCTCCCCACTGCCCTCAAGCCATCCATCTTGCCTGAATTTTTCAGAGCCCCTAAACAAGGAAATCACAAAGCAGAAAATCATGATGCTGCAAGCAAAAGTCCCAGCTGGAGCCAAAGGGCATGGGGTAGGTGGCTTCACAATGACCTAGCTGACCCTCAGCTGCTCTCAAAATTGTTGCCCTGATTATACTAATCCAGTTAGAAAGAAGTCAATGCCTCTTTCACATGAATATAGCTGATAGCTCATCCCTCAAAACCATTCCCCTGAAAAACCCTTAAGCAGAATCTTCCCTCATCAGACACCGTGCCAGCCATCAACACTTCCTCAATTCCCTTCCACCTCTGACAGACATCAAATTTCTCCTGTCTGCTGTCATGTTGCTGAGCACAGACAGGCACCAAAGGTCTCAATATAAACCAGTAACCTCAGTCTGTTCCATGGGARCCTGACACATTGCACCTCAGAGCTGACCCCCTCCCCAGTCACTTGGAGAGTCAGCAGCCAGGAGGTTTTTATTGCAGGAGTCTCAGCACAGGTCATGTTGAGCTGCAGAGGTCAGAAGAAAGGTCTGTAGCGGAGAGGAAGAGGAAGACTGATGCTAACAGCAAACTTTTATTCAATTTATGCTAAGGCAAAAGAGACCCAGCCAGACTGCCTGCCCMAGAGAATGCCTTGCCAAGACAGAAAATATTCAAGCTCTTCCTGTTTCCCCAAGGTCACAGACAGAGCTGTATGTTTTATTGCCACGTTTGAGATACCAGCCTCTCAGGCAGCACACTACAACCAGAATTTGAATGTACAGCTCAGGAGCTCACAAAAGTCAAATCAGGTGCWTAACAAAGAGCAGAAACCACAGTGTGGGCTTTGTTGTTTCTCTCCAAGCGCAGGTGCCACAGCCTTTGTCAAAGCTGGAGCTCCAGACAGCAGCGTGGCAGGGTCAGTTCTAATGATCAGCCCAGAAACACTGCCCTTGCATTTCTTTACAGTACTACTAAAAATAAAACTCAATAAAAATACTTTATCCACTGCAAATTTCCACAGTTCTACAGAGCTGCACACTGCTAGGACAGACTTCAAGGTTCCCCCTGCCCCAYCTCTCCCTTTTTTCTCCTCACAGAGGATTCAAACAGGCAGGAAGATGAGGGGCCCCTGGGAGAATGCCCAAACCTGGGGGTTTTCTGCTGCTGCCAACAACTGATGGCTCTTGGAGACCACAATGTATGAGGGACTGAGCCTCAGACTGAGCAGACACACAAAGATGTTGTCTCAGACCTTTGGAAAGGCAACAGCAGACAGATACATCCTCCAAAGAGCGGCAAGGTTTGCACAGCTCCAAAACAGCTCCCCAGAAACACCTCCCGTGCAGCTCTGYCTGCCTGCATGCAGCCAGGAATGCTCTCGAGTCCAAGGGCTCATTTACAGCAGGCAGCCAAGGAGAGGGTGGAGCCTTGCCCAAACATAGCTGCTAGTAATGCATCAGGTCACAAGAGATGAGAGCCAGTTTGAGATCAAACAGAGCCCAGGACAGTTTTATTTGCTTTATAAGTGGCTAATTAAAATAATGTTTCCAGGATGTTTATATCACCAAAAGGCTCGCAAATGAGACCTCTAGTAAAAAAGATCTACACACACAAAGCTGAGCAATCTCCTGAGGCAGGTCAAAAGGGCAAACAGCAAAGGATGCTTTGCGAAAAGCAAATATGTCAGAGACAATTGGGAAATGAACAAAAATGCAGACAGAGAAGCACAGGCCACAGATTGCAACTAACACCAAAACCTTCAACAAATAACTTACAAGAGGTTTACTGACCACAGAGGTCAGATCCACTGTTACTACTCATGGGGAAATGCGTCTGTAACACCAGGCAGAAGCACAAGCGTTTCATTTCTACTAGGAAAAGTGTGTTTTGAGGTGTATTTTGCACCAGTAAACCCCTGCCTACAAAATAAACTGGACCAGCTGAAGCAGTTTTCACCAGCAAAATGCCATCCATATCAGGCCTTTGGTAATATAAATGCTTTGAGAGATAAAAAAGGAAAGTAAACAAAAGAAACAAGACTTCCTGCAGCACCTAGCTACAGTTATCAGATTTTCACTGCCATGATTGCACTGAAATGATCCCACTTTYAGAAGCGCTTTTGAGATCACTCCAGGAGAGGAGGACTCAGCAGCTGTCTCTCAGCAGCCCAGGCTACCTGCACACAGGGAGAACCTGGACACACCACCTCCTCTTCYGAAACACAGCTGGAAAAGAACAAAGTCCTCAAACCAAAACGATGTTCTTCATTGTTAATGAATGACTAAGCCAACCTTTACCCCAGTCAAAGAAAGGGAATGCTTTTTCCAGAAGGATCAACAGTGATTTCTCTATCAGGAACAATAAATATTTCCCGCAGCATGGCAGGCGATGCATTTCTTTTCCTTGGTTGGCACTGACACAAAGCAGGAGAAGACCTAATCCAAAGCATAGCTCAGTCTCAACACTTTCCGAAACAAAAACAAGTGATGCCATTAAACTGAAAGCGTGACACATGCCTGAGGCTTTGCAGAACATGGCTCAAACCTCATCTACTTTGCACGTTGCTCTGGGACACTACTTTAATCCCATTGCTATCAAGTAACAACAGATCGTAGTAACAGGACACTCTTGAAGCTTAATCCACACTATACCACAGGTGCAAATTTCCCATGGACTGGTTGAGTTACATTGCAACGCTGTAAATGTACTTTCATTCAGCATGTAAACCACCTGAGCTCAGTCCAGTTAGTTCAATTCAAAAATTAATAAYGGCAAATCAAATCCAGGCTACTTAAATTCTGAATATGAGTATCTACACAAGGATTTAATTCACTTTAATCAACCCACTGGAAAGGTTAATTGGATTCATTTTCTTGAGTAACCATGTGTGGACAGACTCTAAGGATGAGATCTTGACCACACTAAAATGACCAGTAACAGCTTTACTAATGACTTAATAGGACGARCATTAACCCCTAAAATGTCAGCTTCAGCTTTTGTTCCAGTAACACTAAKTGAAGCTTTAAAAGATGCCAAGAGGTCAAAAGGAACCCCCAGCTGCCTTCACAGACATATGTTTTCGACTCTTGCTTGGCTAAATCATCGAATTCACAACTGCTATTTTGTAAGAATTGAAATTTGAAAAAAAAAAATTAAACAAAAAAACAGTGGCAAGAGAAACAAGTTTAAGGAATTTAGGAATTTGAGTTGCTTGCTTTTAGGCAGAAAGCKCTCTATTACTAGAGAGCAAATCTAAACTAACTCGATTATGACAGAGCTTCTACTGGTTTATATCACAAATCGCTGTCAGAAAGAAAAAAAGTATCTCATACAAAGGTTTCTAAACCCAAAGCAGCTCCAGGGCACATTTAATTGAGCTCAAAGGCACACGTGTGAGGCAGACACTGCTAACAGGGAAGCCGAGATCAGTCCGGCCCTACAGAAGGTGAATCCGTGCTCTGAGCACAGGCCAAGCCAGCAGGACCCCAGGAAGCGAGGGGAGAATGGGGGTCTGCGGGGCGGGAGCGGCTGCTTGGCGCTCCCAGGCTCAACGCAGGCCAGTCTTTATAAAAAACGGTACGCTTAAGTGTTCACAAATGGGGCCTCAACATCAGCAGTCCCCCTCAAATCGCCACATCTGTGGATATTCACAGTTCCGCTCCCATTTTTTCAACGCCCCGAGCGGTCGAACCGTAAGCGCGAGGGACAGACAGACATTTCTGCTCGTCCATCCCCCGCTGGGTGCCCCGGCTGCCCCCTGCCCCGCGGGAGCGCAGCCCCGGCCGGTGCCCCCAGCCCGGCTGCCCGGGCGCGGCGGGGGGAGCGCGGCGGAGGCGCCGGCGGCGGCCTCGGCCCCAGCGCAGACAAAGGGCTGCGCCCTCCCCCAGCGCCGCTCCTCGCCTTCTCCCGGGGAGAAGCGGCGCTGCCAGCCCGCCCCCCGCCGCTCGCCCGGGGAGGGGAACCGGGAACGGGGCCAGCAGGGCGGCCGCGGCTCTCTGTCCGGCAGCGGAGGCTCTCTGTCCGGCGGCCGCGGCTCTGTCCAGCGACCGTGGTTCTCTGTGCAGCCACCGCTGCCGGTTCCCCGCCGGCCTCCGCCTGCCGTCCCCTGCCGCCACCCGCACGGCCGCCGGACACCCGGCACCGGGACACCGCCAGCCCGGGAACCCCGGTGCCACTGCCCGAGCACGGAGCGCCCCGTCCCCTCCCCTCCCGCTGACCCGGCTCCAAGCCAGCGCCCCGAGCCGCCGCGGCGCCTGGAAACTGTAAAATAATAATGTTGTAAAAACCCACCCCAAACCAACAGCTTCTGCCCTGCATCGCTCCCATCTCCCCCACACCGCCCCGTCCCGTCCAGCGCCCCCTGCTCCCCGCGCCGGGCTGAGCCGCACCTTCCTTGACTCCGGGCAGCTTGGAGTGGTCGATGCCGATGCCGGCCATGGCCGGGCCCGCGCCCCGCTGAGGCGGCCCCGCTGAGGGCAGCGCGGCGGTGCCGCCCGCGCCCCGCACCACAAAGTTGGGAGCGGATGGAGCCGGCGCGGCCGGGCCGTACGGCGCGGGAGAGCGGACAGAAAGCGCCGGGCGGGGCGGAGCGGGGCCGCCTCGCCGCCCCTCGCCCCCCTTCCGGGGAGGCGGACGGGGGCGTCCCGGGCTGCTTCCCCCTCCCCTTCCCCGGCGGGGCTGGGGTAGCGCCTCAGCGGCACGGGCAGCCTCCGAGGGCGGTTGTGTATACGTTTGGGTGTTTGGAGTTTTTTTTTTTATTGTATTATTGTTTCGTGGGGTTTGTTGGCTGCTCTGAGGCGACGGCCGGAGATCCTCTCCTAGCGCCGAGGCGGCTGTCAGAGCTCTCGGGCAGCTCGGGTCACCCGGCGCTCTCCCGTGCTGGATCGGGCTGCCTGTGCCCCTTCATCCCCAAACCATGCCACCGCCGTGCTCGCACTGTCCCGCCGGCCCGGGAAAGGCACATCTGTCCCCGTGCACCCTCAGAGCCGCTGCCCGGCGCTGTCACGGCCGCCGCACCTTGTCCCTCAGGGCGGGGGCGGTGACTGTGCTGGGACGGGCAATTCTCGAGGAGGGCAGTGCAGGCCAGAGATCCCTGGTCACGGAGAGCAGCCAGAGGCCTTTGAACCCAGCAGTTCTCTGCCACACGCGGGTCAGTGCCAGCTCTCAGCGGAGACGGCAGCACTGCCCRCCTCGGTYTGCCGGCAGCACAGAAACAGCACGGGATAATGTCCCATGGGCAAAGGGGAGAAGATAAGAGGAAGAGGATTTGGGGTTTAGGGATGTCTGAGCTCCTCTGGGCCGTGCTCAGCACAACCGGTCGCTTATGTCAACTGTTATGTTTAATTATAAGTGCGTGTAGCTGAGGTCTATGCAAGAAGAAGGTGAAGTTATCATCGCCACATTCAAAATGAGTGGCCTCCAGCTTCTATTCCGTGGCTCTCGTGCCACTGGTGAGTAGGAAGATACAGAGGCGGAGCCCATTTCCTGCTCCTCCTCTGCAACAGGCTCTGGGAAGCTCTGTACCCTGGCTGACTGGGATGGGAGCTGGGAGGGAGACAGAGTAAGATGTCAGATGTAAAAAACGCCCATCAATTGTATTAAAAAGCAAAAACATTAAAGAAAATTACCACCCCCCTCCCCCCCCCCAAAAAAAAAATGTTTCCAGAGGGTTAGCCTTGTGCTACTCCAGAATTTTCAAGTTTTGTTTTCTGAAACTCGGGAATTATCTGTCCTTAACTGCATCCCTTTTGAATGATATTTCACCAACCCCAATGTGGGTATGMAGACTGTCTTTAATCTGACAACCTTTGCCTTCCCTTCAACTTCTCAGCCTTTTGCACAGAAAAAGTCACAGAATTGTGTGTGTTTGTGATCCCCTCACATGCACACATGCAGTACACCTCTCCTGAGTGCTGGCACACACAGAGCTGATGGGCCTGCTGCCTAGAGGGTGCACAGCTGAGCCCCACTCCACAGGTACTCCATATGATCACACAGATGGCGATTAGTCACGGGGTCTTGCCCCTCCAAGGGGCAGCTCGCACAGATTATCTCCTGTCACAGACCCAGCTCTGCCCAGCTCTTCCCTCTAATCCCTGCCATCCACACAAGCAGTACAACTGGACTTCTTGCAAATAATCCCCATGGTTTCAGCCAGCTCTAAGCGAATGAGGGGTCTAAAATCCATTTCTGGTTTCTCCTAAAGTAGAGTTTTTCTGAACTAGGTATATTCCTCTGAACATCCTTCATCTTTCACTAATGAAGCTTTTTTATTACTTGATAAGATTTGGTTTTGGGCAAAAGAAGATGCCAAGAAACCAGGACCATACAGGAGAAGTGGCACAGAATCTACTGATCTGACAGAGGTCACAGCTTCCCAAGCCCAGAGTATGGTTTTCTTCTGCTCTTCTCTCACCATAAAGTATTCAAGTCAGAGCAGCAGAAGCTGAAATCCTGAAGCACTCACATTTACACAGCAGCTTTAATTCAACAGAGCCACTTTACGACCCTACATTTATGAACAAAGCTTTAAAGCTTTCCTCCCAATGGTCGTGCACTTTGCTCCATGCACACAGCTCTTTGCTCTACTCTTCACTAATGAATTTGTATCATATTAAGTTGTCTGTCTAGGGCCAAAGCCAGCAACATAAATTAGTCATGAATCTGCACTGCATTCAAGAAATGCCATGTTGGGCTGATGTGACTTGGACTGCTGTTAAGAGTGCACTGTCTTCCCGGCTGTGTTTAACTTCACTAAAGCAAGATCTGGTACCCAGTGCTCAAAGTCACATCAGAGCAGTTGTCCTGATTTCAGGTTTCTAGTACACAAATTATGGGCTCCTCACAGTCCATACAGTCCCCCTGTAACTATATTTGTTTATATTGCAAGATCTGCTGGAACTCAGTGATAGCCAAGAGATGGTGAGCTCTGCTTGGACCTAAGGAAACTACAGGAACATAACATAAATGACATTTTGTTCTTGGTGTTGGAGATGAGGGGAGAGGTGTCAGAGCACAGAAAGGCTGGAGTAGGCTCTGGGGAAAGGTAACACAAGCAAAACCCTGTCAACACTGTCAAACTGTTCCCTAAGGCAGTGTATTACACACCAAAGGGTTTTGGTTTTTTTTTGTTTTTTTTTTTTGCCTTCTTGACTTCAGATTTCTTTCTCATCTTAGCTTGATTCTTTCAGAGATGTATTTCAGAGATGAAGTCTCTGAAACTGGAAGATGGTATGAGTCACTTGATTATAGAAGATCCAGAAATGACCACAGCAAGACTGAGGACGAGAAAAAATTAATCAGGAACCGCAGAATGAGTTACTGATGTAATGGTAGCACTGCAGCAGCATCACATCTGATGCTCCCCCCAAAACGGTTCCTCAGTGTGGTTGATCTCAAATCACCCTCCCAACTCTAACTTGTGTCTGAAGCTGCACCTTCTAGGAAAAAGGCGTGAAAGGTATTTGTTCTGAGAGGCTGACATCAACTTTTCCTGTGCAAATTGGGCAGCATCAAGTAGTACATGTTGCAGTGGGTAGGTGAAACCCAGTAAAGCTGAGAAGACTAACCACTTCCTTTTGATGAAGATAACCAGACAATGACACTTCAGTCTTTTATAAAAGGTACTTATTTTCACAGGATCTTTTGTCAGAAAAAAAAAAGTCCGTATCGTTTCTTGTGACAAAAGCAGAATTTGATTTGACTTTAACTCTTCTCTCACTGAGTAATTTCATTCAGAAGAGATTTTGCAGGATACTAGTCCAACCCCCTGCTCAAAGCATGGTTGGCTTCAAAATCTGACGGRGTTGCTCAGTGCCTTCCCYRGGTGAGTTTTGAAAATCTCYRAGGCTAAAKACCACACCACCTCCCATTGTGATTTTTCTCCTTGTATCTCTGTGCACTTCTCCTGGCTGCAGCTCTGGGTCCATGTCCTTGCACTGAACACCCAGTTTGGCTCTGTGCTTTCCAGCAGCTCCTCTCCATGGCAGGCCACGTATACCAGGCACATCTGTGAGGATTGTGCTCTGCCAGACAGCTGTGGGCAGGGCTCAGACACAGCACAGCAGCTGGACTGTGCCACTGCACATGTATTAAACACCAGGAGCTCCAGTACTGGCCGCTTTCCCTACCTGCATCCAGGCATTTGATCTGCCCCCAAACACTGCAGTAAACCCAGATTGTCACACTGGTGCACCACACAACACTCTCCCTAATTTTCAAAGCACTGAAAACACTCCTGAGGGGATACACAGAGGAGAAGCTGGGACTCTTAAAAACAGGGAAGAAAAAAAAAAAGCAATACAATCTGGACTGGCCCGCAGAAAAGCTACAGTGAGCTTTGATGGGCAGGAGCTGCCAGGCAGAGCACTGGGACTAGGAACTAGGATTGCTTTATGCTGCTAAACTCTTTCTCTAGGCAGGGAGAGACAGTTTTGTGCTTGCTTGTTAAATAAGCTGGGCACCTCTCCAAGTCTCCTGCTGTCATTTTAGGTCAACAGGATAACAACAACTGTGAAATAAATTAAGTCTCATCAAGATGTTCACTTTCGACAGAACAGTCTTTGTTAAAGTTTCCTTAATGACGGCAAAGCTCACTTCCAACTGATGAGGCTGCTGTCCGAATAGACACAGGGAATAATGATCCTACAGGCAGGAACTTGTGCATGCGTTAATGATCAGTGCAAAGGGATGGGGGAAATGGTTCTAGGTCTCTCATGCTATCAGGTGTTACACATGCCTGTGCCCAAACCCAGTGTGTCAGTGATGACTGATGCCAGGGAACCGACCTTCCTGGAGACACGGGCTCTTGRTTTTCTGTCYAAAGTCAAATTCCTGCATAAARCCCCTCACAGGACTCCATKCAATCTGCAGGAAGCTTAAAGGATRTRAGTGCATTGTTTACCYCTTGTAATAAATAAAAATCGGTTTGGGGTTCAAACAGGATCTACCCCCAGCCTAGGGCAGGGATGCTGTAGGGTTGCCCAACAAGGGAGGCAGGTGATGCAGTGATGCAGGGGAAAAAACAGGGGAAAAAAAACCAGCACTTCAGACATCAACATCCCTGCATTTCTAAGCAAAGACACTTCAAGAGAGGTTTGAAATCCTGTGCCAGAAGGGGTGGATGAGAGGAAGCAAACATTACAGCATTGGCAAGGAGAACCCAGAAGCAGGTGTGTAATTTCCGTAGGTAGCTGAATGGTGCCTGTGGGAATTCAGGCTCCCTGAAGAACAAGGAGAGCAGGAGCCTGCAAGGATTAAGGTATTATAAAGCTCACCAGGGGTAATGAATGGGGTGATTGCAAAGAACGAGCAAAGAGGAAACTTGACTTGTGCTTACATGTAACATGATGAGGAGGACTAGAAAAATCATGAGCCATGCCACAAAAGAACAAGGGGTTTTGCTGACTGTCAAACTGGGGAGCAAGCATGTGCCATCTGAAGTCATATATGCCTTCCAAAATGTCACTTAAACGAAAGTATTATTTAAAGTGTTACATAGTAGACGAGGGAAGAAGAAAGTAGCTAAATGTATCTTTCCTAATCTTATGTGAGAAGAACAGAAATTGCCAGAATAAGTTGCTTAGTGCTGCAGGG